ATGATAAACTATATATTAATCCAATTCACAGGTAAAATTGGAGAGGGAATATTATGATACTTTTGATGCAAATAAGATTTGTACAAAAAGGTTAGAAATAAAAGTTAAAACTCAATTTCCCTTTATCAATACATATACTATAGTAACACCTCTTATCTACCAGTTGATCTAAAAACTACAACTACTACAGTGAGTCCTTCAGTTCATATTAAAAGGACAAACAAGAGAATAAGATCATATTTCAATGAAGAACTAACCAACTGGGAGTATATACTAGCAGCACTGGCCACATTGACTGTTCTAATTACAGTTACTGCTATTATACTATTGTCATTATTAATGTTTGGTGTAGCTAATAATTCAAAGTCATCATTTTCTCCCTTTATCATAAAAACATCAAATCATTCAACAAATAACATTGGGAAGGATACATCAGGGCCTAATTGTACCTGCACCAATACTAATAATAGTGAGTGTATGTGTTTATATATTATATTTATATACTCTATGTAGATATAAACACTTCAAGTTTAACAGTAAGTACTGTATGTACACCCTATCAGTAATGGGGATATGTCAGTGACATTATTTTAGAGATATACCATATAGCGGAATTTATTGACGAAGGTTTTATTTTGACGAGTTGACAATTTAAAATAAAACGTCGAATTTAATAGCAGTCAAAAATTTTGTACTTTGTGCCACATGTACGCGAAGGGCACTATTCGTCAAATTAAAACTTGCCAACCGGAGAAATTTACTGTTTTCGTCAAATTTTTTACTGTCAATAAATCCCGCTATACGGTATGCCATGTACACTGTGTAATGGGTAGCTTTATTGGGCACATGTCACACTGTAGGGCATCTTTTTTTCGAGGGCTATATATTCTGCAGATTTCACAGATTTTGTTGCTATTCCTGAAAATAAATTCCTCAAATTAATTGTTTATGGGTGTGGAAAACTCGAATTCGGGATAAAATTGCGAAATTTAATACAGCAAATTATAAATCAGCTAAATGGTATCAAACTCAGTTGGGATATAATATATATCCCTCAAAAAAGGTGCTTTACTGTATGTTGTGTAATCGGTTCATATATGTTATTCAATGTTATTAGGCAATAAAGGAGTCAGTATTATTTATAAGGAAAGGAATAAACACACTGATACAAAATAGAGTGAGTCATTATTTTGGAATTAATATTATTATTTTATTTAGAATATGTCAACCAGTGATGTATTGAAACAGCTCAATGATTATATGTATCAGGTTGAGATTATTAATGAATCATCACTTTCATTGATTCCTGAGTCTAATAAACCAAGAATGCCTACACTAACTGGATTAAACTTAACATCTAATATCATTGTGAACAGAAGTGAAGGATGTACTGTAGAAATTACTCCAGTTTGTACGACATTTTCTGCACAATGTGGAAATAGTGGAATACCTTTCATTAAGGTTTTAAAATAGTTTTTGTTAGTTATTTTTATTTTGTTTTTGTAGGACAATAAGATAATGGTGGCTTATTCATGTAATGCTACACCAAAATTAAATACTTCTTCTGTTGTCGGAGTTATTAGAAAGCTGTATGATCCAGATCTTCAGTTCCAATGTACTTGTTATGCTATTAGTGGAATGGGGTCTTGTGATACTATCATTCATCGTTGTCCTTATAAAGAAGCAGTTCCAGCTCTGGCAGCAACATTTACTGATATTTTTTCAAATTAGTTTATAAATATTATTTTAATGTATGTATCATATAGTCAGTTTATCTATGCAGTTTATCAA